AGTGAAAGGTTGAAAACAAGCTAAGTGCCCATCAGTAGGGACTGGCTAAATAAATTGTGGCAGGTGTATAGTAGAAAAGTATGAAGTCGTAAAATCAGCCAGGAAGTTCTGTATGTATTTATATGGGATCTTCAAGATACTATAGGGGAAAAAGCATGTGTTATAGAATCTGTTTATAATGTTACATTTGTGTAAAAAACTGTGGGGAGATGAACTGTTCAGGTGTAAAGTATCTCTGGAAAGATACACATGAAATTAAGACAATTGGTTACTGATGTGAAGGTGAACTAGACAGCTAGGGTCAAGGGTGGGAGAAGGACTTTTTACAGCATTCGCCTTTGAATTTTGAACCATATAAATGTGGATTTATTACCTATTTTAAAAACACAAGAACAATTGTAAATGATTGGTACAAGTATAACTGACTTGGGTATGCCTGTGCATTTTCATATATGTCTTTTCTGTACTTGCTCTATTCATTGAAATTAATCTTGGGACACCTCTTGTTTTGTCCTTCCAGGTCCCTGATGCTGGTCAAACTCAATAGAAAAGGGGATCTATTTTACCCTTGCTCGGTGGTGGAGAGGGTAGAGACCCAGGTCTATGTCTAACTTGTCTTGTAGAAGACTCAGGGTAGAAGTACTGAAGTCTAGGGTGGGGGTTTAGCAAACAAATCCCAAAGGGAGGGCAGTAGGCCTCTCAGTCAGCCCTACTGTGTGGTCTCCCAGAAATAAGGATGACTCCTTTAATACTGTCCTGTTTGCTCAGATTGAGGCCTGCCACAGAACAGAGGAATGCCTGCCTTACTTCTTCCTTTTTGCAGGATGTAGAAAGGCAATAGATTGTGGAGAGTCAAAACTCCCTTATTTTTGGCAGGATGGCAGTGCCTTCTAACTTCTGAGTAAAGTGACTGCCTCTCTAAAATCAAGAGTTTGATGTAGTTTATCTTTAATGTGCCTTTTACCTTTGCCACCTTAGACTGTGAAAGATCAGCCTTTAACCAGAACAAGAATTAATGCTTAGGCCCAAAGACATTTTACCCCTTCTGTATCCCTGGGGCTCAAATGTACCTGCCAGATGAGAGAGATGGGAGAAATGAAAGAAAATGAGAGTAGAAGACCACCATTCTCACTCCTTCCCTCTTGCCATTGCTTCAGAATCTCTAATTTTTCTCTGAAAGAGACATTTTTTTTTTTACTTCCCCCCCACCACTGGTATTATCAAAGCCAAGCCAGAGACATGGCAAGAAGCAGAAGTGAGCCCAGTCTCTGCAAAGCACTGTTTGGTCAGTAAAACTTGGGAAATACCTACAGACTGCAACTTCAGGATAAATTTTCTGAAACCTTAGCCCATTTGGATCAAAGTTTACCCTTGACATTGACCTCTCTCTCTGCCCTGCCATTCTACAGCTTTCTGAATACTTTACAGATATACTCATGCATTAGCTAGCCATGAGTTTTCACTATTCATGGTTCTTCCCACACAAACATCTCCTTTCTCACCATACTGCATCCCTCCAACTCCCAAAGCAGAAAATTGCAAAATGTGGTTCCAAATAACCTTGCTGAATATCATTCAAGAGGCTTGTTAAAAATAAAGATTCCTGAGTCAGACCTATTGGATTAAAATCTCTGGGAGTGGCCAAGGAATCTGCACTTTTAAACAAGCTTCTATGGTGATACCTACCCACTAAAGTGGTTTTAGGAGTCAATAATCCAAGGATATCCTTTAGCCAGTTTCAGTCATGGTAAAGCATACCACTGTGTCCATTCTTTATTTCTGTCCAAGAAACACTCATTGAATGCTTACCGTATGTCAAACACTAGCTTGACCCTTGAGTCTTTCATCTATAAAGCTCTATAAAGGCACATCACTCTAAAGAAGGTTGTGTTATTAATAAACTTCTAATTGGGTTAGAATTCTTGTCTTTAGGACTTCTTTTATCCCCACCTCTATCCTCAGATGTCTGAAAAGTGCTACAGAGAACTGCATCTTAATCTCATTTCCTTTTATCTGTCAGAAGAAAAAAGACCCTCCACCCATATTTACCCCAACAGGCAAAAGACCTTCTATGCTTTGGGGTTGTGGAGCCAAGGGTTTGTGCTCATGACTCCAAGGGGTAGCCCAGTAGTCTTGTGGAAGGGAATTGCCAGGGGCTGGTTAGGAACAACTTTAAACACACATGAGACTAGGTTGCCACCTTCCATCACTTCTGTCTGTAGAAAAGAAGTTTGCTATTAGAATGAGAGAAATGTAGGCATGGAGTGGGGTATGTAATGAGTAAGGTGTGGCTGCTCTGATGAGCAGGTTAGGAGAGATTTCAAAGCATTCCTGCATCAAACACAACCTGGCAGTCAGGCTCCTCTGCTATCACCTCCCACAGAGAACTCACACCGTTAGGACCCAGAAGAGAAGTAACCCTTGGGAAATTATGGCTTGAACAAGTATTAAAATTAATAAGACATTTTCCTCATACACTGTGAACATCTAAGACAAACTTTAAAGTTACTCAAAATACCCTATATTCACATTCCTATATACATTTTCCCCAATACTATCTCCCAATCTCTTTTGAGAGAATTAAAGATTGTTTCTTCTGGAATATGGGCTGGAGACATAGCTCCATGGTAGAGCACTTGACCAGCATGTGTGAAACCCCAGGTTCAATTCCCAGAACACACACCAAAGAGATTCTTCTGGAGTAGATTTATAGTAGAGGTAAGACCTATATCAGAAATGAATCTTTTGATTCTTTGGTTTGAGAGTATTTCCTCCCACCCCACTTCCTGCCTAACCTTAGTTGGCAAACATGTATTGAATCATGGTATGAGAGGACTAGCATCTGGACTTCTTGAGTAAGTCAAGAACCTGTCCAGGAATGGAGATGGCAACTCTCAGCCCTGAGGTGTCAGACATGCCAGGGACTCAGAGATTAAAGAGAGTAGCAAGAATGATAATCAGAATGTAACTGTTTGTATGGGATTATCTGGGAACTGCTGACTGGGTCTGAACAAATATCAACTCTTACTTTAACCCCCACTCCTGACTCCCCACTCCCACCACAGCTGTGAAAACAAAAAAGTTTTTTTTTTTTTTAAAAAAACCTCTTTCAGTACACTTTCTACTCACTAAATCTCCAAAATTGTGCTTTCTTCAGGGAAATAGTGTGGCTAGTTCAAGGTTGAAAGCTATTTTTCAGCATAGGACTCCATTTTTCAATCAAACCCAAGAACTACAGCACTGCAGGAACCCAGATCCCTTAAGTTTTGTGCTCACCCTTGGGTGTCTGTCCATCCTGCACTTAACCTGGAGACCCTTCAACCTCACCAGCATCTACATTTTGGTGTGGCTTTGTTTATTCACAAGTCTACATCCTGTAGACTTGTAAGGAGCTCGCTCCCTGGATTGTCATGGCTTCAATTCTTCAAACTGCCTCAAAATGGAATTTTGGGCAAGGGTAAATCACTCTTTGATGACAAGTGGATCAGTAAAACAATAATAAAACCTCGGTCACCATAACTTAGAGGATATAATAGATCACGTACTCAAGGGTACTTGAGTAAGCTAAGAGTAGGCTCTTTAGAGTTCTCATTCATTCAAGGTTTTAAGAAACCATCCTCTTTCATTAGTAATGTGTGCAAGCAACCTTTATTTGTTTATTTAACTTAATTTCCCACAGCCCCAAAGAAGAACACATTTTTAAAAATGCTCAAGGAAGTTGGAAAGTTTGTCAATGTAAAGCTTCTCTTTGTAACTCTTCTACTCTTGGTTTCCTGTGCCAATTGCACTTTTATTTCCCGTCTCTCTACACTCAGTAAACAAAACCATATTATCAAGGGAAAGATGTGAGCCCATTAACATTGCGAGCCCTCAGATTTCACTCGCAAGAGACGACGCAGCACTTATCTGATGGAACAGAAGCTTTAATTGCTTCAAGATACAAGCCCATCCAAACCTCTGAGCTCTGACCTGTCCCTGGGAAACCTTTACGCCCTTGAGCCAAGAGCCTTATTGAAAGCGTGAGCAGCACGGTGCATGTGCCAGCCTCCCAAAGAGGTGCACAAGAAGCGGTCCCCCACAAGGGTGATTCTTTATTGTGACGACCTACAAGGCAGAAACTTTATTTTCTGTCCATACCCAAACCTGGCACTACTATATGTGCCCTTATCAGGCTGTCACAAGTTGAAAGGGATGGAGGAAGCTGAAGGGAATACTGCAACGGCAACGTGAAAAGAAATCTTAGTCAAAAAGTGATTTCGTCGGGCTCTAGGTGCTCTGCACCTACAGCTGGAAGTCCCATGAGTCGCACCAAGGCGAAAAAGAGGGAAAACCAAACATCTGCTCCAGGTTTTGGAGAGGGATAACACCAGTGTCCAGAAAATCGAAAGAGCATGGGACGAGGAAAAGGGGTAGAAAGTAACTTTACCTTTCTTGGGGAAGGGCTGAGAGCAGTCCCACAGACCGAAAGTCACGCTCCCATTTAACCCCTTCCACACCGCGGCACCTACAATCCACATCCGAGAGTAGAGCCTTCCACAATCCAGAAGAACAAGCTCTCACCCGCACCAACCCTGGCCCTCTCCAGAGCGGCCAGTCCTGCCTCCCTCCCCCTACCTCGCCCAATACCTGTCTGGGAGCAGGCGCCCCGCCCTTCCACAAGCAGCCCCAGGGCCTTGCCCGCTCTTCCTGGGGCTGGGGGCGATGGGCGGCGGCCCCTGGCTGGTTGGGCTAAGTTGGATGCAGGGCAGGCGCAGGGAGCCGCGCCTGTCGGAACCCAAGCCGTGCGGAGAAGGCGCCCATTGGCCAGCCAGTGCCACGTGGCCGCCCCGGCTAGTATATTAGGCCACTATTTACCTCCGATTCGCTCGCCATGGCTCGGCGAGGGCAGCTCGGGTAGAAAGAAGAGGCGGAGAGGCGCAGACGGCGGCGGTCCTGCCCGGCGTCTGCTGGGTTCCTCACCCGTATCCTGGTCTGACTCCTCAGGACAGTGTGCTGGAACCATGAACTCCTACCTGGAGTACGTGTCGTGCGGCGGCGGTGGGGTCGGTAGCGACGTGCTCACTTTCGCACCCAAGTTGTGCCGCGCCGACGCCCGACCCATGGCCCTGCAGCCCGCTTTCCCGCTGAGCAGCGGCGACCGTGCGTTTGTCAGCTGCTTGCCCCTGGCAGCTGCCCGACCCACGCCTTCGCCCCCAGCTGCCCCAGCTCAGCCTCCTGCGCCGTCCCCTACTGCGCCCAGGTACGCGCCGTGCACTTTGGAGGGTGCTTACGAGCCTGGCACTGCACCTGCCGCTGCGACGGTCGGGGGCGCGGACTACGGCTTCCTGGGGCCCGGGCCCGCCTATGACTTCCCAGGCGCTCTCGGGCGGACGGCCGACGATGGCGGGGCGCACGTCCACTACGCCACCTCGGCGGTGTTCTCCCGTGGAGGCTCCCTTCTCCTCAGCGGACAGGTGGATTATGCGCCCTTCAGCGAGCCTGGCGCCTTCCCTGCCTGTCTCAAAGAGCCAGCCGATGGCCACCATAGGGCCTTCCACTCTGCGTCCCCAGCCCAGGGCGCCTATCCCAAGTCCGTCTCTCCCACCTCTGGCCTCCCGGCCGCCTTCAGCACGTTCGAGTGGATGAAAGTGAAGAGGAACGCCCCTAAGAAAAGTAAGTCGCTGGACGCTGGATGGAGGCACTTGGGGCTGGGATAGGAGCCTCCCCCGGGGAACTGCGTTGGGAGTGTTTTGCGGCGGTGCCTCCCATCGGAAATACGTTCTGATGCCTCACTAAAACGGGCCAATTTCATTAAGAGTGCCCAGGCTCAGAAAATGTGCCGGGCTTTGAGAATATTAGAGGAAGGAGCTCTTTGTGGAGCATTTCTCCTGGCACAACTGTGTTCATAGAGACCGAGGAGAAGTGCACTATGACTTTGAATTCTAACTCTAGCCCCCCTGCTAGCCGGAGTCTTTGCATCCTCTGCCCTCCCCGCTAATGCCTTGTCTTTACGTTGCAGGCAAACTCGCAGAGTACGGAGCCGCTAGCCCCTCCAGCGCTGTCCGCACGAATTTCAGCACTAAACAACTGACAGAACTGGAGAAAGAGTTTCATTTCAATAAATACTTAACTCGAGCCCGACGCATCGAGATAGCCAACTGCTTGCAGCTGAATGACACTCAAGTCAAAATCTGGTTTCAGAACCGCAGGATGAAACAGAAGAAAAGGGAACGAGAAGGGCTTCTGGCCACAGCCACCTCTGTGGCCTCCCTCCAACTCCCCCTCTCAAGAACCGGAACAAGCCCCACAAAGTCTGGCAGGAGCCCGGGGAGCCCTTCTCAGGCCCAAGAGCCTTCATGAGGTCCAGTCTTGAGTCTGAGGAGTCTTGGCTAGCAGAAGTCATGGGGTGCCCCCACCTCTATATAGACTTAGAGCTCAGTTTGGGATGGAGGCAGGTATGGGCAAAAATTAATAGAGATTTCACTTGGGAAAGGAAATACCTTAGTTGGCTTCTGAATTCCAGGTGGTGTGTATACAGATATTTGATGTCTCTTAAGCAACTTGTTTGCATCTTATTTGTATCTTATCAGGGAAAAGATGCCCAGCTGCCAGCTCAGCTCCACTGCTATGTTGCCTAAATTAATCATATGCAAGGTTTGGGTGCAGGGTGGCAGGCCATTCAATTGTTGAGTTCTGTCAACCCTTTGACGTACTCAGAAGTGCATCTTCCTAATGTTTTTCTAGTTTAATTTAAAGGACAGGCTACATACATTCAACTTCTTGAATGACCAAAGCCAGTTAGGGTCTCCTTGTTGTAGCTCAGCTGCTTCAATGATGATCTTTACATTTGCACTCCAGTTTTTTTTTTTTTTCTTTTAAAAAGCAGTTTCTACCTCTCCATGTGCCTGAGTGAAGATACAATCGCTATTTAGTTTGTAGTTGAACAAATCTACACAGTGGGTGAAGATTAGAACCTGAACTACACCTTGACATCATTTATTCAAACTTGAATGTAAATATATACAGTATGTATATTTTTTAAAAGGTTTGCTTGTGATGAACTTCTATTTGACATTTAATGTCAGCATGTAAAGGGTTTGAACTTTGTTTTGTAATAAAAATTACAGAACCAACTACTCTGCTTTTCTTTACACCCTTTTCATCCTGATTTTTTCTTTGAAGTCGATTCAATTTCTTCTATTTGTAATTCCTTGATTCTGCTATGGGAATGTTTATGTTGACAACTTTTTAAAATAACCATGCTTACACGTGGAGCACACACAGCAAATTATGGTAAATTATTAATTAAGGGAGAAAACTCTGCCAAATATCCAAGTAAATAAGGAAATACTTTGCTTAAGTACCTTAGTTTTCATGGCAGGCATCTGGACTGCACACTAACTCAAAGGTTAGGTACCCACTATGGGGATGTTGTGAAGCAAGGGATATACTTCAGGGAGCTCTGTTCCTTTGTCTTCTATCCTCACAGAGGAAGAAGAAAGGAGACCTGAAGACACTGTCTTGGCTAATGCTCTCTGAGAGAGACAGCTGCACATCAAAAAGTACTCAGTGGCTGAATTCCCATTTCCAAAGTCAAGAATTAGAAAGAAGGCTGAGAGAGGCCAGTAGTTAGCACTTTCTACTTCCTGTAACCCAGGTTAAGAGAGAGCACAGGGGGTGCCTTTCTATTTTTTAAAAATGAAATACTTTCAATTTTTTTGCAAGAGGTACAAACAGAATCTGAAAGTTGACAGGAGGGTATATCAATAAGCAAACCAAAAAAAAACCTCTAGTCTTATTTTAAGTTGGCCCCACAGTTCTCATCCCTAACCAGACTTTTGTTAACCAGACTTTTGTGTAACATCACAGAAATATGAAGAAGAAGGAGAAAAGAAAGAAAGAAGAAACAACAATGCCAATACCCAAAAGCAAGTGGATACTTGAGTTGATTGTTAGGTCATTTTCACCAGTTTGTATCTTTAAATTCTGAATAGTTAATTCAATAGAAAGGCTTAAAGGCCCAAACAAGGGAGATAAAAACCTCAGTTCTCCTTTTAGCTAGATTTCTAGACTCCAGAGCAGTGCCTCAAATCTAATACTTTAGATGTCTACAGAATAGTGGAGGATGACTTTTCCTATAAAACAGTAACATGATTAGTTAGTTGTCTTAGAAGTTTGAAATTATATTTAAATTCTTGTCATCTGCACCCACAATCTAATAGAGTTGAAATAAAATTATCAGCTCTAACAAACTCAGCTGTTTAAATGGAAAGACATCACTTAAAATGTAAGTCTGCCAATATTATTCTTCTGTTCCATTATCTGTCCCTCAGTAACTTCATGCTAATCAGATCTGGTTTAAAACAACAACTCCCCTCTGAGCTCTGCAACTATTTGAAAAGACTTGTTTAAAGACCTGTGATCTGCTCCTTTCCAGCCACCTCCTGGGCTTCCCCTGCAGTGGTGTTTGACATGACAATGTTTCCTTTTTGATAAGCATTCAAATGTACACCTAAACAAAACAAAACAAAAAAAACCAGCATGCTTGGTCATTTCCTTAATCTACCACCCTTTCTCTGAGAAAATAAAGCTTTTCCTTTTGAAGCCAGTACTAGCACTTACCAGCCCTGATGGATGTCTTCCTTGAGGAAGGTGGCTATTTAGATGTACATACGTATAATGCTGTTCTGTGAATCAGGCCAATATTAGCTATTTTTTGACCAACCCCAGGGAACCTTAAAAGCTTTCTTAATGCAGATCACTATACAGCTATATTCAGTATTAAGAAGAGTCCTGGCTGGAGATTGGGAGGAACTAGGTGACCTTTGGAGGTCCCTTTCAGCAATGAAAATGCTACACAAACAATTCAATGACTTCTACATATTTTATTTTAGGCCTATCATTGGAAGAGAGTTGGGTTGTAGGAAAGCAAACATAGTCTCTAGGATTACATTGATACTGCGTTTATGCAAGAAAAGTGGATTTTAGACATTATCAAATTCATCTTGTCACATGGATCCTTTACAGAACATTCCCCTTCCCATTATTCAGAGCTTTGTGTTATTTTGCATAAGATCTCCATGCAGTGTGAGGTTATTATGCAAACTGTTAAGCTGCTAAAACAAACTCATTTCTATTTTACAAGATTTTAAACTAAATATGCTAATTCACTCTCCAGCGATCTGTTACAAGAATGAATACACAGTGGACAGTTTTGGCTGTTATGTAATTAACTATTCAATGTTCCCTTTGTCTTCACATAATGACCATGTGTCTACTTTTCTGGATTCAGGATAATTGGGAGTGAGGAAAAATAAAATGTTTAATAACAAAATTTCCATTACTTGAGTACTAGCAAGTGAAAGCTTTGCTGATGTAAAAACCTAAAGCAATGTCACCTAGATATCCAAAAGATTAATTATGTGTGATTTATTCTGCCTCCAACTCAAATATGGTGAGAACCAGTACTAAACTAGGTTACATCTGGCTATGTCATCAGAAAAAAGAAGCAGGCTCAAGAGAGTTGCATTAGCTCTGAAGTTCTTAATTATTCTTATGGCCAAATAAATGCCCTGTATTTGCTGAATATTGAATTTGAAAACCTCAGGATCTAATCAGTTCAGAGAGATGTTGAGTCTGACCACAGACCTCTCAACAAGAAAAATGCCCATTGTTAAAACTTTATTTGTGGTTTTAAAGTAAAACCATGGTGGACATATCTCACAAATAATGATACATCTCTATCTAAGTAGAAATAAAGATTTTCATGGTTTTTACCTCTATCATGTTTCCAACGCATGAAAATGAAACAAATATGCAAAATAGTCCAATTCAACATGCCATTTGTAATTTGTTTCTTAAGTTATACTTGTTATTCAAAAATATAATTTCAACAGAAACTCTAAATTAAATAACAAGCCAATAGAAAAGAAATCCTTTTTTAAAATTTTTTATTTTTTAATAATTGCTCAAGACAATACAATGATCTTGACATATCATACATTTGATTCAAATGGGGTATGAATTCTCATTTTTCCACGTGTACAGATTGCAGAATCACATTGGTTATACAGCTACGTATATACATACAGCAATACTAGTGTTTGTTGTATTCTGCTGTCTTCCGTATCCCCCCTCCCCTTTCCTCTCCTCCCATCACCTCTCTACCCAATCTACTGTGACACAGAAAAGAAATCCTTAATATTGATATAAAAAGAAAGTTTTATTACTTAGCTTCAAAGAATTTAGCATTACCTCTTCTACATTTTATAATTTAATTGATATAATTTGGAAAGGAAGGTGTTATGATTTGGATCTGAAGTGTTCCCCAAAGGTCATGTGCAAAAGGGTTGGTCATCAGCCTAAGGCACTATTGGGAAGTGGTACAACCTTTAGGTGGGACTTAGTTGGAGGAAATAAGTCATCGTGGGTGTGCCTTTGAAGAGTATATTGGGACACCTGCCCCCTTTCTCTCTTTCTTTCTGTCTGCCACAAGGTGAAAACCTTTGCTCCACCACATGTTCTCCACCATGATGTTCTGCCTCATCAAAAACAAAACAAAACAAAAAACAAAAACAAACAAACAAACAAACAAAAACAAAACAAAACAAAACAAAAACAGTGTCAAGTGACCATGGACTGAAACTTCTAAAATTGTGAGCCTTCCTCATTTATTTATCTTAGGTGTTTTGTCATAGTGAGGAAAAGCTAACACAGAGGGCCAAACAGTGGTAATTTGGATTTGTAACAGACACTTTTGAGGCATTTCCAGAGAGCACACTAGACCATTTAGCATATCACATTCTCAGGGGTTTTGCAAAGCTTAATCTTACATAATTTGGGAGACCTCTTTAATAAAACAAATACAAAATCATGAATACAAATTACTAAAGCATCTCTGAGGACCTGGAACAGCCCAGGTTAATGAAGTTTATGGAAGGGGATATTGCTCATATACCTTAATGGTAGAGAGCTTTCCTAGCATGCTCAAGGCCCTGAGAGGCATGGTGTCCTACCCTGTAATCCCAGCTGATAATTTTATTTCAACTCTATTAGATTGTAGGTGCAAATGAAGCTGAGGCAGGAGGATTGTGGGAGCTTGAGGCCAGCCTCAGCATCCACGTTTCAAAAAAAAAAAAAAAAAGGTGAATTTCAACTTTCTTTGGGTTCATGGTAATCCATCTTAGCTCCTTCTCTGAAACAGTTGCCTTATCCCTACTGCCCAGTCATTGCCTATAAATTGATAGCAATAATTGCTTTTCTCCAACATTATGGAGCCAGAGCCACTGCTTGCTTTCTTCAAATGCATCATATAGTAGATAATGGGGACAAGAGCAGGTTGATGCCCTGTTACACTCTCA